AAATTCAGTATGATAAAGATGCAGGAATGCATGGGCCACAGACGCATGAAACTTCCCTCAAGTTTTCCATAGATTTTAAATATAATAATCAATCCTTACTTATCAGCAATGTCCTAAGCGAGAACAGCAATAACAAAGGGGTGGTTATACTCTGTTGTGCATAAATGGGAGACTTATGAGAAAGGTGAGAGGATTCTTCCATTACAATGAGCATTTGCCAGGCTCTGATGCGCAGCCTATCAGATGACACGTTAAACACAACACAACACAACACAACACAAGAGCGTTATTTCTTAATGAGGACAGCCTGGACTGTAACCTAGATTCAAATGAGTAGATTGATAAAGACATCAAATCTTCAGATTTGCGATTACAAAGACACAGAAACACTTGAAAGCAACGTGGGAGAGGACAGAGTGTGGCATTCCTGCAAATCCAGACTTTTAGGCACAGTAGGGACAGACAAGAGGGGGTTAAATAATTATGAAAATTTGGGGTTCTACAGTTACTTTAAATCCACACTGTAGAAAACATCAACTAAGACTAAAGATGAAACTTTTATGAAATAATTCTATCTCTAGGTCAAGAATCAGAGATGCACCCTGCTGTATGCATACAGTTGACAGATGTGTTATCTCCACGATATACTCCCTCTGAGATTTATTTCTTTGAAGTCAAATTATAACCCAATTCTCACGTAAAGCTGTGACACCTTGAAGTGTTAGAATAAAAAAGGCCTTTCTTGAACAGGCAAATGATGCAAAACTTAACACTGGTCCAGGGTAATGTGTTTGGCTAGGCAAACTTTCCAATTGAGCCTGGCATTACATGGACTTGGTGATTTCTCAATGTCTTTTTTCACTTAGAAAGTTTTATAATCGGGTGGGAACGAAGAACGACTGTCAGACTCATCCACACCCACATCCTGAGTTTGGATAATTTTATCTCAAAGCAGAGAAGATGGACACTGGGAGCCCAACCAGAAAGGGAGGAAACTGTTTAATCTTCACCTTGGAATTTCTCTAGAGGAATCCTATGCGAGGATCTGTGCACGGTGGCCTTCTTGTTCAGAAGGAGATTTGAAAACATATAGGAAGTGAAGCCCCCCCCCCCCCATTAAATATTTCGTAGAAGCTGACAAATTGCTTGACTTTCTTCTCAGAGTGGATCTTTAAACACAACCAGTTAATCTCTGAGGATCCCTGAGTGGTGCAGTGATTACACGCAGACCTGCCTGGAAATGTTTGCCTCCGCCAGGTCCTTCTGCTTCTTCCACATCTTACGGGGCAATTCTACTTTCTTACAGGGTCACCATATGCTCGCTAATAGGTGGACTGACTTTGGGGAAAACGTTTTATCTTTTTGTAAAACCAAAATTCTTAACGTAGAATTGGGAGTTTAATTTGATTATTTCATTAAGATAAAACGATTCTTCAAAATCTTGAACATTTTAACATTATTCTTTTTTCATACAAAAAGGACACACTATTTTCAGATGGAAATCATGGAAGAGCAATTAGCAGGAAGAAAGAGATTAGCTTAGTGGTTTTGATATTTTATGCCACTTTAATACTTCTTCCTAATATTAATAAAGAAGAACGAACAGAAAAAAAGTAACAGTACCCAAGATTAGAACGAGAGCCCAAGATGAGCGTGTATTTGTCTGTGCGCTATCGACAGTGTAACATGCTGAGCAAGGCTGGGATCAATGTACGTACTTTAGGTGAGTTTTACCATTTCACGGTATTGATTAAAATATGCCCTTGTTTCCAATTTTTTAATAAAAACTCCTAGGAATCTTTAGAATTATGCCTTGTAGACCTTCTATTTTTACTAATTATTATCCCGAAAAGGTTAGCTTTTACTGGCATTAAAGCTGTTAGGGGGACGTTTAATTTGTTGATTATTCTCTAATGTCCACAGAGATAAATCAAGCTATGAAGTTAAGAGGAGTAGTAAAAAGATGGAGGCCCAGGTGGTAATTCCTATAAAAGTCTTTAATATTTTAAAGCCCAAAATAACTAAATAAAAGCATCAGCAGTTATTTGATAAAATGGAATTTCTAGGTGAATTGACATTTTTATAAAATAAGAGCTCACAGATTGTCAAAAATTCCAGCAAATTAACTCAAGATTATTGAAATATTCATTTTTTTAAAAAAATTTGACCTTCCAAAGGGAGTACTTATCTTCACCTTTTTTAGAAGATAATGACAAAAACTGAAAGTAGTTTTCAAGTCAGCAGTTGCTAATATTTTACATTCATACGTTCATCGTTAAAATTCCTATGAACAAAGAATAAAACTAAGAATAACTTTAAAATGATAAAACAAATATCAAAAATGAAATGTTTGGTCTTTGAAAATATTACTAGATTCTAAGTTTCATAATAGCCTGTTTTTGTTTTTTTAATTGTTTTTTTTTTGGTTGGTTTTCTTTTTATCAATTTAGAATTTATACCTAAGCTATATCATTTGAAGCTTATTACCAAGACCCAGTAGGTCAATGAAAAAGTCCAGCTGAACGAAGTACAGTTTGCACAGATACTCTATTTGGACGCCAGGGGGCAGAAGAATCTGTTAAGGTGTACTGAGTCTGTCAGTGCATCTCTGCGTACCGGAATTTCCCGGCATATTTCCATGAGGAGTAAGTAGTGACATCATGGCCATGAGAAGAATTTAGCTTTGACTCACATCAGAGGAAGCACAGCATTCTCTCAAGACTGAAAATAAATAAAGGCCTATGACATGCTGATTTAGCTTAGGAGTAATAAAAACAGATGGCAGGATAAGCAAAATGATTTAGAATTCAACATTAAGAGCCATGTAGAAAAAGAAAATAAAACACAAAAATGATTTTAATCATGCACTTAAATTTTTAGCTTACGGATGAAGTGACTTTGAGTAACTATTCATAGCACTTCATGCCGAGGTGCCGCCTAATCAATTCCACCTATAGCGATTGTCTGGAGAGCAGAACAAAGCCCTGCAGGGTCGGGGCTCTCCTCACAATTGCTTCTAGGCGGGGCCTGTGTTGCAGCCCCTGGGTCAATCCGTTTGGGCAGGTGCCTTCCTCTCTTTTGCTGCACCTCCACTTAAGCGAGCATGATGTCCTTCTTCAGAGACTGGTTTCTCCTGATCACGTGGCCAATGCACGGACACGAGACACGTCTCACCCCCACGGCCTCTAAGAGCATTTTGGCCGCGTTTCTTCCAAGACAGATTTGTTTGTTCTTTGTCTGTTTTTACAAGAGATTTCCAGTATTCCGAAAAGAAAGACAATTATTCAGTAGCAATTGATTTCCAGAATTAAATTGCCAGGACTTTCTTCCCACTGCCTGGGACTCTCCGCTGAAACCTGTTCCTCATCACAGCAAACACCAGTTCCTGTCAACAAGCGGGACTGCCTGCAGTGTGCTGGCCGGGAGTCAAAATCAGGTCTCCAGCGTGAACAGCAGGAATTGGCAGATCTAAATTTAATTCCAATCCCAGGGTTCCTCAAGCTTGAGCCCTTGCACATATTGTTTCCTTTGAAGTGCTTTTTTTTAAACCCATAAAATTGTGAGAATAAATATCTACCTACCATGGTGTCATAAGAATGCAATGGAATCATTTACATATGCATCAAGAGAATTGTTCACAAAGGTTTTTGACAAAACTTTCTGAATTGGAATTTTGTCGGCAATAGGATCAATCACAACTTCAAACAGATTAAAGAGAGAACGAGTGAGAGAAGGGGAAGCGATTCTGTTCAAATAACTGCAGGTAACTGGACGTAGGACACCCAGCCATGCATCAGAGTCCCCGCGAGTGTCTGGGGGAAGCCTGTGCAGAAGCCCCGCCTTTGAAGACGCGGCACTGGCAACAGTTTCTTAGCCGCCATCAGTTTTCTCATGGTAAAATGAGGGGGCATTTGCCGCACAGACCATACGCTCTCTAACGTTCATTCTAGTTCTTACGTTCTTGAAGTTTATAAATGCAATGACTTGATATGCCATGAAATAAAATTTTAGTCATTTTATGAATGCAAAGCTATTGCAAATATTATATGTATCATATAGTTTATGAAGAACATATGTGGAACAGAATTTCACAACAGGTATATGAGGTTCCCAACATCAGCATCAGCATGCCAAATGTAAAATAACATAGGAAAAACACAGGACTAACAATTAAAAAAACTATGAAGAGAAAGTAAAGGAGTAATAAGGAGTCTGCACACTTCTACATTATTCAGTCAAGGATAAAATAGGAAGAGCTTCCTCACGAGATGCCATGCAGTTGATTTCAACCTGTGGCAATCCCATGTGGGCAGAATAGACTTGCCCCTCAGCCTGCTCCAGGCTGTCAGAAGCAGGGGGGCCGGACTGTCTCCCCAAGTGCCCAGGAAGACTTGGGTCAACAATTTCGGGGTTAATCATCCAGCATTTAATCACCTGGACTCCTCAGGCACTAATTAATTGAAAAAGATGATTTGTTTTCTAAGTACTTTCTGAGTACTTTCTGAAAACTTTTCACGTAATGTAAATTAAAACTAAAGGCTCTGAATGATCTCTATTATTTTTTTAAAAAGAAAATCATTTAGAATGTTGTAGTGGGTGTTGCTTAAGACCTGGATACTAATAAAGTAAATGTCTCCAGGGGGTGGGGCTCCTTTCTGAATTACAGAGCAGTCCCCTCACCCCCAATAAAAGGGAGATGCCAGTGAATCCAAGTTTTTTATGGAGAAAGGCAAACAGATCAAGCTTATTGGAAATCTCTTGAACTCAGTAGCAGCGTAAAGGACTAAGTGCCTGGATGCTGCAGCCAGAGAACTTAGATGTCAAACCCGACTCCATTATTTATTAGCTCTGTGACCCGGGGCAAAATGCTGTGCCTGTCTGTACTCGGGAGTCTTCATCAGTAAACTTGTTCATTGGTGAGGAGGACCATTTATTATAGTCTAATGAGAAATGTAATATGGGCTTAAAAGCATACTTCAGTCAGTAGGTCGGATACATACTGTGCCAGGTCGGGGATAAGGAATTCTTCTGTCATATTGCACCCAGCGATGGTCAGCACTTTCCTTATGAGCATACGGACCATTGAAAACAGCTCTGATGTCAGCCATGCTGTACACGCAAACAGCGGAGCCTTTGAAGATGGAGCTGGAAAAGGTAGCAAGATTCAATTATTCACTGAAACCTCCAGCCAACATCTATTGAGTGCATGTTCCAGATACTGTAGACCAAAATGATGGAGCATATACCATGTGCTAAGAAATGTAGACAAAAGGAGCCCTCCTGAGGCTTATGGCCCAGAAATCCTGAACAGAGTTTGATAAGAGCTACGCTAAATATGAGTATAAGAAGTGAGAGTTGCACCTGGATGACTAACCAGTATAGGCGGCCAGGTTAGTTGCTAGCAGGGAGGTGACATCTAAACTGACACCAATGGGTAAGTGAAGTTATCTAGAAAAGTATATGGATAAGGAATAATGCAAAATAATGAATATTATAGTTATCCACCTGTTCTTGAATTTTATTGAAACTATCGTAACATATAACCCCCCTAGTACAGTGAGTGCCATGGGAGTGTAACCAGAGGGTTGAACCCACCAGCAATTCACTGGGAGTCCACTCCCATAAGGCTTTGCAGTCTCTGGAACCACAGAGACAGTTGTCTTCTCACCCAGGGAGGCATCACGCGTCGGAATTCACTCGATGACCGAGAGTGTGCCTTATTTGTTTTTATTATTAAATAAATAACAGTCTTTAAAAATGCTTAGAAAATAATCCATATATACAACCTATTTCCCCCAAAACACACCCAAATCCTGTAGATAAGTGGCTACTGATCATCTCACTCATTTGTTTTCTAAACGTAGGGTAGTGTACAAAAATATATCCTGCCAAATAAATTCCTCATATGATTTTGGTTTATCTGCTTTAAAATATTGAAACAACCTATTTTTGCTTGCCCTTGAGTTTAAGTTCAGGAACTACAGCGCCTTATGTAATATTTAAAGTTACTTGTAGTCACACGGGATGGGGGTTCACATTATTGAAAAGCAAAAAAATCTCTAAAGGATTTTTAAAGATTTTCTTTGAGTCCCAAACTTCCAGTGATTCCTGATTTTAAAAAGAGATCATCCTAATCATCTAAAATTAATAATGTATCAACACCATACAGATGAGTTAATAATGCTCTGAAATGAGTATCTCAATGATTACTATTGTTAGAATGATATCAATGGGCACCATCAGAAGGTGCAAGAGCCCTGGTGGTATAGTGGTTGGTTAGCAGTTCAAAACCACCAGAAGCTCCATCGGAGAAAGATGAGGCTGTCTGATTTCTCAAAGAGTTACAGTCTCAGAAACCCACAGGGGTAGATCTACCTGGTCCCGCAGGGTTGCTAGGAGCTGGAATTGACCTGAGAGCAGTGAGTTTTGTTTTGTTTATAAGGAGGTCATGGAAAACAAAAGGAGAAAACCAAAGCTGTGAGGTGACACTGCCATCAAAGCCGTAGGATCTCTTATAAGATTTCCAAGCACCGATGACTCAAGTCTAAAGATATTGTTGTTATGACAGGCTAATGATATCTTTGCATTGGATAAAGAATGTGACCTGCACCCTGGCAGTACCGCAGTCTTAGGGCAGCACTAAAAAGAAAACAAAGCACAACAAGAACAAGAACTGACTGGTAACTTCACACCCTTGGTGGGCCGAAAATTGGTACGCACAAAGAAAACTACCCCGGGGCTATGTTTTCCTGGCATATATCTGTGGCTTGTGTGTGAAGCACACAACGACTGGAAAGTAAGAATGTGAGTGGAAGGCTGCCCAGAGAGCTAGTGCCGAGATATGAAACGTAACAGACACCCTGTTTTCTTGCACCTTTTTATATTCAAATACAAACTAATGGGAAGAGGGCGTCTAAAACAAGAACGTCTTATGCTATATCTTACGGTATCTTCTTTGTTCTCAGGTGTAACATGGATATTCAATATCTTATATTAAATCAAATGGTCTTTTACTTGAAGATGCATTTTTGACACAGTCATGCATTTTAAATGTTAAATCTTACATAGCATATTATAAAACAAATGAGGGGCAGACAAATAAAAGAGCAAACTCCAATTTGCAAACTATTTTAAAAAGGTACTCAAAATGAAGCAAAATACTGTTTCTCTAATAGCGAGAATAAGATTGTCTGGTAGCGTACAGAGTTACGCGTTGGACTGCTAACCATAAGGTTAGTGGTTCAAGCCCACTAACCACTCTCTGGGAGTAAGAAGGGGCTTCCTGATCCTGAAAAATGTCAGCGTCTTAGGATCTCACAGAGGTGGTTCTGTTATGTCACATAGGTTGGCTATCACTGGCAATCAACTTAATGGTAGTGAGTTTTGAATCTTGGATCTTCTAATATTAATACACGTTGATAAAGACCTGTAGGAAAGCTGTTCAAAAAATGAAATGTAGGATGTAGCACATGTTTTAGGCAGTGACGTGTCAAGAGTAATGACTAAGCTTACTTATCCAATTTAACGTCATTCGAGGGAAGTGCTTATGTATTCTGAAAAAAGCCTCACAGAGGCAAGTTTGGATTAAATTGTGTTCCATAAAATAATTGGCAACTTGACTGGACCATCCTTCCCTGTGTCATGCAATTATCCTCCATTTTCCGATGTGGTATAATTATCTTTTTTTTTTCTTTCTATTTTTGCATGTATTTTAAAAGCATTTTTATTGGCACATCATTTACATATCATACCATTCAATTGTTCAATCATATTAAAAACGGTGGTGCAATTATCACCAAAATAAATTTAGAACATGTTCTTATTTTTTGTACTCCTTATTATTAACGCCCCAATTATCTTATAGGGTATAGTAAACACTCACCTCTAGCATGTGAATGGAGCCATGATGGCCCTGTGGGTTAAGCGTTTGGCTGCTGACCACGGGTTGGCGATTCAACCCCAGCAGTCGTGTCTACTCCTGTAAAGACTTACAGTCTGAGAAACCCTAAGGGCCCGTTTGGCTCCACTCTGCCTCATCAGCGCTCTATACACTAGAACCCACTCCAGGGTGGTGGGCTTGGTTTTTCAAAGATGCTACTTCCTCAAGATTAAAGGCATGTATATTAATGTAGTGGATGAAATCTACAGAATTAGTTTGTATCTTGAATCCATTTATCTTGAGATATAAAGGGGATTAAGCAAGTAAGCAGAGACGGGTTGGACCTACTGCCACCAAGCAAGAAGGACCAGTAATGGAGTATGTCTTCAGGGCCGATGGTGTCTGCACTGTAAAGTCCCAGACTCAGGGCAGCACAACGCTGGTACGATTTTTGGGACGACAATCACAGAACAGCATTAACCAGAAAGATGACAGAAAAACAAGGTAAATCTTCTTAGAAAGTTTTAGTTTTAGTCCAATTTACGATGAGTTGGTAACTCTGGGCAATAATGCAAATTCCTATTGGCTAAATTAGTAAACATAAAATGATAGCAAATGATAGCAAAAAAAAGTACCCCATCTTTATGGGGTACTGAGAAGTCAAATAAGATAGCTTCATTTTAAAATTCAAGACTATACCATTTTGGGATAATAGCCAATAAAATCCTCTAAGCTAGGCAGCTTGGAAGTATTAATACTTATGCTATATCTTTATATACTTTCTGAACTAATTCCACAGACACGAGTGTGGGGAACAGCATGTGAACAAAGTGAGTCATTGCAATAGCACTTGTAACAGCAAATGTTTGCAAATAATATAAATATCCATTGGTAAGACACTGGTTAAATATATATGGTAATTGATATAAAGGATGCTCCTCTGTGTAAAATAAAAAAGAAACTATGTATTTATGTTAACATATTTCTGAGAAACACTAATTTGAAAAGTAAAATGCAGGGACAAAAATAATATATAACTTATGCCACATGAAGATTCTCAAACAGTTAAACATATTTCTCAGAACATACCTGGTTGTAGTGAAAACTCCATATACTACAGGATTTCTCTCATCTCTTGTGGGGAGTAAGTAAATGTCTTCTATAAACGTGGGGAAAATCATATTTTTATTTTCCAGCGTTATAAAAATTTTACAAAAACAAAATAACATTTGGGAAGCATTGTAAACAGTATGTAAAATAACAGAACCGCCATATTATGCCTTAAGTCATCAAAATTAAAAGAGTGATTTACTCACGGCAACATAATATTAAACATTTAACCCCTTAGGTGTTCTCTTGAATTGCAAATAAATGAAATGGCTCATTGATGATCCCCATAACTATTTCCAACGAAGATTATATGAATCATAGAGAAGAGAAACCTAAATTACAGCTCATTTTCAACTTGCAGTATAAAGATAACCTTATATTGAAAACTTATTTAGTAATTCAGTTTCCTTTTTGGTACAATACATACTCGTATGTAATGAGTGCGGTGCATATGAAGCTGAGCAGTATTGGTCCTGGCACTTGTGGGTTAGGTGGGGGGCTACTCACTAGAAGGTCCAGGGTACAAATCCCCAAGCTTCTCTGCAGAAGAAAGAAGAGGCTGTCTGCCCCAACGAAGATTGATGGTCTCTGAAACTCTACATCGGGTTGGAACTGACTCAGTGGTAGTGGGTTTGATTTCTTGGTTTTACTGTCTTGAGAAATATAACTTATGCTGTGGATGTACATTATACACATGAACAAATCATCCACAAATATTGAAATCTACTAATGTAAAATATTGAAAAACAAAAACCTCACTGCCATCGAGTCAATTCTGTTTCAAAGCGACCCTGTAGGCCAGAGCAATACTGCCTTTGTGTGTTTGAGATGGGCTGTTTCTCCCATCTTTATGGGAGTTGAAAGCTTCACTTTCTCCCTCAGAGTGGCTGGTGGTTTTGAACTACTGACCTTGAGGTTAACAGTCCAATGCATAACCTATGACACCACCAGGGCTCCATGTGAAATACAATAATAATAAGACCATTTAATGCATGTGTATATATATGCATACATTTTTTACATTATATGGTAAAGACATAAACAAGTTCAAGAAGATAAACATAATAATGTTGAATTTCTATACAGCAACCAACACCTATCTAGAATTAACTTTGGGGAAGATAAAGGAGGTGAAGTGAAAGAGAAGAATCTCTTCTAATTTTCCGGAGTTTTCTTTATACTGAGTCAGAGGGACACAGGTCACCATGCCTCTCTTGTCGCCCAGCAGAGGGCAGTCATAGAATAAGGAACCTACATTCTTCCCACAGCAGAGAGAGGTTCTTTCTGAAAGGGAAGATTGCATAGAAAATGGACAGGGAAAACACAAAGGAAGGAAAGGAAATGGACAGGTTGGATTTGCTGTCCCCAAGCAAATAATTTTCTGCTTTTGCTGCAGGGGTTGTTTTTTTCCTTCATTATTTGTTGAGGATGCTTACAGAGCAAAGGTCTTTTAATTCTCATGTGCCCAAGCCTGGAGTATCTTTATGCCCTTTAATATGTGTTCAATTTTAGTCAAGACTATTTCTGCCAACTGTGGCAAGCTACATAATAAGGCTTCAGAAATAAAACAAAAGACAGATGACTTGGTTAATTAGGCTCTGTTAAGTAAGAAAGAATGTACAACTTACGAAGCTCATCAAAGTAAGTATCTGCCCCACTTCCTGGAATCGAGCAAATCAATCTGGCCTTAAGGAAGGTTGTCCATTTGTTTATCAGACTGCGTTGTCCTCCTACGTCATTCTGGCAAGGAGGGGGTGGATATAGATAAAGATTTACTAACATGCATCTATGCCACTACAAAGAGTCCCTTATACATGTTATTACCTGTAAGGACACAGGACTTACATAGCTGGTCCTTGTCGTTCTAAATAAGGAGAGAGGCAATTTTGTCATTCGACATTCAACATTTTTCTCTTCTTTAAATAAATACAACACTGAACGAGAGGGCTCATGCAAGGCGACCATCAATTAGGCAGGCTTGGATTCAAATACCCCCTAAGCTAGTGCTTTCCTTCAGGACATACAAACCCCACGGATCTACAAATACCAGAGATCCTATAGGACAGTGGAGAACCGTCCCCTTGGGTTTCTGAGGCTGTAAGTCTTTCCGGGAGCAGAACGCCTCACCTTTCTCCCACTGAGCACCTGATGGGTTCAAACAGCTGACCATGCAGCGAGCATAGCCTGAAGCATAAGCTGCTATGCCACTCCTTGGACCTACAAAAGGCTATTTATTACCCCAAGTCTCTATTTTCTTACCTATAAAATGCCTGGGGAAAATAGCTATAATGATAAGTAAATAAAATAATGTATGGAAATTCCTTAGCCTAATACTAGGTCCCTTGAGGTCAATAGATGCTAGCATTGAGTTGGATATATCACTCACGTGATTGATATCAATAATAACATTCCTTAGAAATATGCCTCATTATTTTGGAGATGTCTGGTAAGCATTGGGCTGCTTAGATGTGCAAGATCTGAAGCTCAAACTCATTAGCCACTCCGTGGGAGGAAGATGAGGCTATCTGGTATTGTAAGGATTTACAGTCTCAGAAATACTATATAGAGTCAATATGAGACAGAACCAACTTGATTTAAAGAAAAACAAATCATCCCTCTCCACATATAGCTTTCACAATTAAACTTTAAGACAACATAACGATATGCACAATGACTTACTTAAAAGGCAATTCTAAGTATAAAACACGGATATATAATTGTATTGTCCGTGTTAAATTTTTCTCTAAAACATTTCAATAAAATGTTCTTTATATATTGGTAAACATAAGTTTTTTAAGAAACTCAAACGGATAATGTTGTTTTACTATCTAATAGTGACTCAGAAGCAGCTTCTTGGTTTTACATTATTATGTTTCTGTGATTACAAAATTAATCTGCCATTTTATTTGACTCAACTAGCTCTGTGCTCTTAATAATGCAAAATAAGTTATTTCCTGAAATAAATATATTACATACATAACTTTTGGTTAGCAAAAATTAATTTTTGAAGCAAATTTTCCATGAATGTATTTACATCTAAATACAAATTAGGTGAGATATATATATAATCCCTCTGTGAATATATAATCTGGAAAGTTGGTAAAAAGTTAATTTTCAAGTTAAAACTTCAAGGCTGAGTATTTAGCAATTGTCTTACCCTTGCTTATATGTTATTTCTGAAAATGAAATTAGAGTAAAACATCCAAGTGATCACTTCACACAGGAGAGTCCTGCGGCATCTACATAGCTGCTATTAGGGGGAAGCTGCTCCAGGGGAGAAGAGAGGGGCAGTCGATAGATATGAAGATAGATGATAGATACACAGACAGATATATAGGTAGATCTTCGGGAAATGTGTTAATCAGTTTCTCAGTCGCTCTCAAGATATTAACAGAAAGAATACCTTGTGGAAGAGCTGAGCAGACAAGTACCTTGAGACTGAGTATCATATCTCTCCCTAGAGTCTTAGCACCCGTACCAAGTGTACATATGGTATGTGGTATATAGAGTGGATCTTTCTTTACATTCCCCTCCACTAAACACCAGAATAATTTTCAATAATAATTCTGTAAAAATAAAACCTACTAATTTTTAACCTGTTCTCTAAGTGTACAACAATCAACAATTTAAGAACTCTTTAAAATTATTATATTATTTACATTCAATACATTATGAATACACTTATATTTGCAATTAAAAATCAAAAAGCAGAGTGTATTTCATTTGGAATGATGCAAAATCATGATGAATTTACTTTGGGAACAAAGGTAGCAAGAAGCTGAGTTCAGGCATGCTGGAGACGGACTGCACATATCCCTAACGAGGAACTTCAAAAAGTTAGCGAGAAATTTCAATGATCTTAATTCTACTTTCCTATAAACTTTTTCAGGTCTTCGCATACCATAAGAGTTTATATACACACACGCAAAGAAAGCAAATCTGTTGCCATAGCTTTGCTTATGACGCATGGCAGCCCTGTGTTGCCAGGCGCTTCTCCTGCAGCACCAATGGGCGGGCTCACGCCATGGAGAACACATCACTTGCACTACCCAGGGTTGGCCTCACAGCCGCACACATAATGGAAGCACAACGTTAAACTAACAGTGTGAATGAACAAAAGATTGAGGGCAGCGTGTCTTATCACTCATGCTGTTTAGAATTGTTGATGCCGCCGCCTTGTGATAATGAAGAACTACAATAGCTTTTAGTTAGCTTCCTAATGGTTGGAATCCTTACCAGAACATGGAACCCCTTCTAGTATACTCACAACCCAAATGGAATTATGTTACTAGCATCCTACTGGGCAAGTGCTTAATACAAGTGTGTGGAATGATTAATGAATAACAACAAAATGCAAGATAAAAGTGACAAAAATCTTTAAAAAGACATAGCAAGAAATTTGAGCCTCTTTTGAACTTTATATATATATGTATATATATACATAATGGGGACTACATATAATAGGGAAATAAAAGAATTCAAGGAAGAATTAGATTTAATACTAAATGTTTAAAAGGTAGGTAGAGATTGTTTCAAGAAATAGTGGAGGTGCTGAAAACAAGGGAGAAAAGACAACAGGTGAAAAACTCAAAGATTTATGTGGAATTCAAAGACTAATTCAAACTCAATCATGACTACAGTAATGGAATATGTTTGAGAGTATGTCATAGAACGAAATTGGAGTAAATTCAAGAAGTCTTAAAACCAAGTAAAGGTGGTTATCCATATTAAATGTATAATAATTTCTATATCATTTAGTAATTAGCAAAGAAGCAAATTATGAGATTTAAAAAAAATAAAATGAATACATAGCAGATTCTCTGAGATTCTAATGTACTAACAAGTATGTCTATAATTATAATTCAAATTTAATGTATTATATGGTTATCTATCAGGATTTAGCAAGCTATTGGATGAATTTATATGTCTGTAGACATGAAGACAGATTTAATCTTCTTATTTTTAATACTAATATCCCCAGATCAACTTACAACTATACATTTAGATGCTAATATAAATAATTGGTTTTTTTCCCCCATCTTAACATTGCACCTAGGAATATATGTATGGTAGGTAATGTGAGATAATGTAATAATGTATATCTGAGATTATACAAAAGTTAGAGATTTTTTGGTGAATTTAAATTAATGAATTCGTCAGTGAGCCAATTTAAAAGCACAAGGTAAGCCATCTCCTCATATTTCTCATGACCTTTGATGATTTTAATTCAATTACATTTTTAATCATCGACATATATAATTTTTCTTCAGCAGAATCTTAATTGTACAAATAGTACAATTGTATTAATTTTAATCTTAATTGTACTAATTAGAACCTTGGTTAGAAAATTTTCATTTTAATGTATTCTTCTCATATACTTATGCTATTTGTAAAACACTACTGGCCTATATTTGTCTTATTTAGAATGATGATGATTATTAAAATAACATTGATGCAGAAAACAAACAAACAAAAAAAGACCTTTCATTTATCATAAACATAATGCCCGGGGCTGTGGTTTATTGCTTTACCCTGGTATGAAATAGGCACTCAGATGATTTTTTTCGCTGAATAAATAACAATATATGAACTATTTACTCAAAAGCACCCTTTAAGCACATGTCCACATGATTACTTCATCATGAAATGTCACCGACCGTACTCTCTCGACTTTCTGTTAGAATGTGAAGGTGCACACATTGCAACTCTGATGCCACCGAAAGGCTGATAACATGTTTTAAATGAAAATTCCATTAAAGACAAGTCTCCATTCTCAAAAGTAGCCAGCCCCCTTTTCTCTTTGTAATGATTACCCAGATCTCATCACAGACAATGATGAAAAATCCTAACTAGCCTTTAAGTTCCAGATTTGATGGATCCAATAAAGATTTATAATGGAGTTGACTTATTTTTTTAGCTTTCCAAATGAAAATTGAATCCTTTGAACAAGAGAAAAGCAAACAAACAAACAAATCAAGTCAAAGACGAAAGCCACCTGCTGTCACTAAGAAAACAAATACAAAATAATTCTGCCTTATCGACAATTTCACTTTTCCTGGTTTCCGTTCCCTAGGCCAACCAAGATCAAAGACTGCCAAGCGTGTGAGCAGTTCTGAGTGGGGTGATAGAATGCAGGCTGGGGGGAAGTCTGCGTACACACTGGGTAAGTGCTCGACGGTGTCCTGTTGGCCTCCCATGGGTTAACGCTCCCAGGGCACCACTGAGCACCTGCTCTCTGAATGGATAACAAGAAAAAGAAAGTATCGTGTGTATGTATATATCTGCATCCACTTGGGGTCTTGGAACAGAAGGTGATGGGAGGAGGGGATACTACACTTTCAGGGATAATAGCCCTCAGGAATAGATTATAAGCGTTTAATGACTTGATAGTACCTATTACAGACATCCAGAAGCATGACCCCTGATGGCAAAGTTCAATTCCCCAGGAGTTGTGTTTCCTCAGTGAGGAAGTGTCAGTTGACTGGCTCTGTTGACCAGCTTTTAATCCTAGGATTTGTTTGCAAATCCACACAATCCCGCCTGAGAACTTTAACCCCAGCAGAGGGCTGAAAGAGAGGTAACTACTTTGGTACGAAATTGTCACCTCTGTGTTTATTTTTGTGAGGTTCTAAAGAACACAGAAGTCTCACTAACACAATAGATTTATTATTGAGATGTCAACATCAGCAGCTTAGTCACCACCCACTTCATGTGTCTCCACTCAATTGATCACAGCCTCT